TCAGCACTCAGGGCAGGCTTGGGGCTGGCATGGGGAGCTCAGCAAGGAGCTGGGTCCAGAGCCACGTTGGCTGAACCGTGGCTGTGTGGAAGGAGAGAGGAGAGCATAGCCGGATCCATACCCAAGAACCCAACTGCAACCAGGAAGGCCAAGGTGAGCACCACGGCCAGGACGAGGATGCCAATACGTTTGAAGGACTCCACTGCTGAGGAGGCTTTGTGTCTCGTGCTGGGACCTGCAACACAGAGGATGTGGCCCTGCCTGGCCAGGCTCAGCCTGGCACCACTCACAGCCCTGGCACCCACAGGAATTACCTCTGCCGTGCAGCCGCTCCGAGGCTGAGTCCTGCAAACCAGAGGGGAAAACCAGTCACCGAGCTGGAACTTCAGCCAAAAAAGCCACTGGGAGGTGGAAGGGTCTGTAGCAGAGTGGGTAGCTGGTGCCATGGTGAGCTCACTGCTAACATGACCAGACAACCCGGGAAGGGCAGCAGGCACAAGCAGGAAAACTGCCCCAACCTCCACCAGAGGTGGACCGGGATGGGGGTGGTAGTGATGGGGTGTAATGTCCTGGTGAGACACCACTTGGCTCTGCTGTCACCTGGGGTCACCTGCTGTGTTTTTCTCATAGGCTCCACCTGTGCAATTCCAGTAACTGGCTGATAATGCTGCTGTCATTAACACACGAGAGGCTTAAAAAGCCACAGACATTACGAAAGAGACACTTTCGGATGTGCCAAGAAACCCTGAGTCAAAATACACACGCCTGCGGGGCTGTGGCACACAGGCATGTCCCAACGGGGGTTGTATTCTTCAGGAGGGTCAGAAACCGGGTGGCACAGCCCCAGTGCTCCCCTGAGCTGACAGAGTGCTGGAGGAACCAGTCCAGCCCGCGGGAACCAGCGCTCCCAGGGCGGGGAGGGAGGGAGGGAGGCTGTGCTGCTGCTAGGACACAGGGTAAACACAGCCCTGCTCTGCAGCCAGGGCTGGAGCCCGCGTCAATCAGGCATTGATCCGCTTGATTGCCTCCAAATTACCCTCCTGTACCAGCCTCTCCTAGGAGGGATGTCTGTGAGCTGCAGGAGGGGCAGGTGAGCCCCCGCAGTGGGTGGGATGGAGCTGGGCAAAGCCCCTTTGGAGGGTTCAGGTGGGCACTGTACATGTTAGTTGTGCTGTTTTGCAGCCGTGTTTGTGCTATGCCATCGGGCACCAGCAGCAGTTTGGAAGGGTGTTCCTGCTCCACTGAGGATGGTCCTTGCATGCCCTGCCAGACCCAGCACCTCATTCCCTTTGCTGTTGCTTCTGGGGTCTGCCACGACAGGTAAGGTGAGTTTTTTTGCATGCACAGAGGTAAGGGAGATTAAACCCACTGCCATAAACCCACAGATCCAGGAGCACCATCCAGGAGAGTTTGGGGTTTGGAAGCCTTTGCTTTTCTGGCTGCTGAGATTCAGAAGCAACACAGGGCTGGAGATGGTGTTTGTCATCTCAAACGAGAGCAGAAATCCCTGTGCCCCCTCAGGCTCAGAGGTTGGGACTTGGAAGAAGAGCTGTGGGACAGCTACAAGGGGCTGTGCTCCAGCTCTCAGCAGGTCAGAGGAGACGTGAGCCCTCCCTGCCTGGGTCACTGCCCTGGCTATGTTTAGCCATGCACACGTGCTCTGCCAGCAGGATTTTGTAGGCAGGGGCCAAGCCATTATTTGTGGGTTAACACACAAAAGCAGCTTGGGTTAAGGTGCTGCTCACTCAGCCATCACTGCCCCTTGCCCAGCCAGGGCATGTCACCTCCTCATCGTGTCTCTGCTGCATGGTCAGGCTGCCAATTTGGGGAACAAGAAGTGAACTGTGCAGGTGAGGATCCTGCTGTGGGCATGTGGCTGTGCCCCAGCACGCTGCTGTCTGGCTCCTTTCAGGAGTTGCCAGTGGTTTTTCCCTGAACAGCCAGGCTCGGCTGGCACCCGTGCCGAGTGTGGGCAGGTTGTGCCAATTCCCTGCCCCTGGGTGGGCTCTGAGCAGCTCCTGAGGGTGCAGGGGCTCCTGGTGGCAGGGAGTTGAGGACCTGCTGGGAGCAGGAGGGCAGGGTGGGAAGGAGATTGTGTCTCCTGCACCTCCTGTCTTGGCTGCCCTTCCCGAGATGCTTCTCTGTGGCACCTGGTGTCTGCAGGAGCACTGGGAATTTTGTAATGCTGCACCTGCGTCCTCCAGTGCAGCCAGCCAAGGCATGTGGGGCTGGTCCTTCCTCATGCTGACCTCTTGTGTCACTGTGGGCCTGGGCTGGGCATGGCCTGGATAATGGGATCCTAACGGTCCCCTGTGGGAACGGTCCCAGGCCACGATGGTCCTCCAGGTGCTGTGGCTGAGGGACACTGCTGGCCCTGCCTGTCCCCAAGGTACCTGTACTTGTCCCCATCCCTCCTTCCTGAGCCCCCTGTGCAGGTCAGGTGTGGATGCAGGTGGGATGGGTGATGCTGTGGTTGGTCCTGGACACTTTCCCACCTAGAGAAGTTATTGCCCATTCTTGGGTTTTGGGTTTCTTTAGCATTTTCTTCAGTCCATGAACCTCCTCTGTTTCAAAGGGATTCACAGCGTGGAGCTGCCCCAGGGTTGTCTCTCCATGGCTCCTCTCAAAAGCACTACAGGAGCTGCACTGTTTAAATCCAAAAGAAGGCAAGGGCTGTGTCCACTCCTGTGTGATTTCCTGGAGAACTCAAGGCTACCGTAACTAATTGAGCTCCCTTGCCATGTTCTCTGGAAGCATTTATGGCCATTCTGTGCTCCTGTGCAAATGCCAGCCCACGAGCCATGAAGTCCCAATGAATCTCTTCACTCACACCATCTGAGCAGGCTCAGTGGGCCAGGGGTGCAGACAGAGCCCTTTGCCTTCTGCGATGGGTGGGCTGCAGGGTGTGCTGAGCTGTGCTTTGTTCCTGAGGCAGGGAAGGTGTGATGTTCCCTCACAAACCCCAACTTCCCAGGGTGCTTGGATCCAGGGTTGGCTCCTTGGCTGCAGGGATTTAACCCATTGCTGCATGGAGCCACTGCTGCTGTGCTGGAGGTGAGTTCCTCACCCCAGAGAGGATGTTGTCCCAGTGTGTCACTGCTGGAGGTGCTCAGTGAGCTGGGTCATACGTGTCTGCCCTCTCAGGGAACCCTTTTCTTCCTAGGGAGGGACTGCATGCCAGGCTGGGGTTTGGTGGCCGTGGCTTAGCTTGCAAAGGGCACTGCAGGCAGCAGTGTGTCCCTAGTGCTGAGCAGAGGCACTGGAGGTCCCACAGTGGGAGCTGCGTGGGGGACAGGAGAGTCTGGACCTCACCCAGGCAGTGCCCAAGAACCAGCCCCTTCTCAGGTGGAACAAGATGCTCCAGAAGGGCATGTTTCCCTTGGCAAGCAGGCTGCAAGACACTGCCTCACCTGACTGCTTCCCGGGCTGGGAGAGGACCGAGGCAGGGCAGAGAATCGCAGGAGGGAGAGCTCGTGGGGGCACCAAGCAAAGTGTCCACCAGCCACAATGGGGTGTTAAGATGCAGGTAAAACCCTTCCCTGTCTGCATGCTGCCAGGGCTGGGGAGCTGCAGCCCTTTGAGCCTGGGCTGCCCCATCTCTGGTGAATCTCTCCTGGCAGTGCCGAGCTGCGAGTGCAGCTGGGCACGGGGAACCAGCACCCACTCCCGGGGCCAGGGGCTGGGGCAGAGCCACCAGTAACTCACCATGTTCATCCAGCTCTGGCGTGGTCCTTCTGCCTGCAGAAACCCAGCAAATATCCTCCAGAGCAGGGCAGGGGGAGGCTGTGTGTGCCCTGTGCCCAGCAGCCAGGGCAGGCGATGCTCCCACAGCCCTGTACTCTGTGCTCTGCACTCTGTGCTCGTCCTGTTCCTACTCTGGGGCAGGACCGCCCCAGCGCTCCTTAAAACCCACAAGGGGAGTTGTGAAACAGGAATTATGGTTTGTATTGTAATATAACACCAGTCTATCAGCAGCACCATCACCTGCTGTAATCTCCTGAGCATCTGCCACTGAGGGTGACTCACCTGCAGAGCTGCTGTCACCTAATAGCTTATCAGAAGTGAACTGACTGATTTTTCCTGCTCCTCCTGACGATAAGGGGATCCACAGCCATCCCGCTCTTTGTCCAGCTCTTCCTCGTTGTACTGGCTTGTTTTTTAAGCAGAGGCTTTGGTAGGTGGAGGAGGAAAGGAGAGTTGATGCATGAGGTTACCAGGCTCTCGGGTCACTCGGTCTGTGTGTCCCTAAGCACCTCCAGGTCAGGGCTGGCAGCAGAGCTGGAGTGAAGTTAGAGGGAGAACAAGTGGGTGCCCATGGCAGATTACTCTGGGGCTACAGGTGGGGGATCCTGGGGTGAGTTCAGGGGGGGGCTGTGCCCTTCTTTTGCAATGCCCATCCCTTTGCAGAGCAGCTAGCCTGGTTGGCTGTTGATGCTGCAGGAGCTGGGGCTGGCAGGGGGTGTGGAGAGGGCTCTTGCAGCCCCCCAGTTGTGTTTTGGGGGAGCACTGTGCCTGCAGGCAGCTGCTGAGGCTGCTGGTGGAGCTGTGCATGTCTCTGATGCACAGCTGGGCTACACATACAGGAATAATCAATCCCTCTGGGATGGAGCAGCTTGGTTTAGCCTGGCAGGGTGGGATGTAAGTTTAGTTATGCAGGAGCCACTTCCCCCAGCTGATGAAGATGGCACAGGGAAAGGGCTGAGATCAGGGTGTCTGTGGGCTGCCCACTGGAAGTGATGGGTGTGCAGGATTTGCTGAGCAGCTAATTACCCTCTCCTCTTTGGTAATCCAGCTTTCCCAATGGCCAGGAGAGCTGCTGCTGCCAGGTGTGTGTGCTGTGCCAGCAGGAGACTGCAGAGTGCCCCAGACCTGCAGCTCCTCAGATGAAGAGCCGTGTTGCCACTCTGCCAGCTCATCCCTGCCACAGCAGGGATCCTGCTCACTCTGGGAGTCTGGCCAGGGATCCTGCCATCCACATGTAGCTCTGCAGGCAAGGGACACCCTCCCCACACTCACAGTGGGGATCCAGCCCCCTTGGGAGGTGTGGGGACCTTATCTGGCTGCACCCTCAGCTCCTGCCCCCGGAGACTTTGGGATGGAGGGTGGGCAGTGGCAGCTGGCAGGTCCAGCCAGAGGGTGTCTGTGCTGCTGTGGAAGATTTCAGCTTGAAATCTGGTTTAGGGGCTGCAGCAGTGGGGAGCTGGCAGAGCTTGAGTCCCTGGTGCATCCTCGTGGGTTATGGCAGCCTTCCCAGAGCATCTCAGTGCCAGCCCTGCTGCTGTGGAAAGGAGAACAGACCAGGAGCATCTGTGGGGAGGGAGGTGGCACGGCAGGAGCAGCTCTTCCTCCTTTGAGGTTATGAAGACTTTGAGGAAGCAGCTGAGGTTTGCAGATGTTATGTCACAGTTCCGTGCGCCTTCGGGGCTTTGCTTCCTGGAGTGCGGCTGTTTCCAGCCCGTCACCCTTCCCTGGCCTCCTGCACCCAGAGCCCCGCTGTGACTCAGGCTTTTGGGCATCCTGGCTCTGTGGGGTCAGGCAGAGGTCAGGCAGGGCTGGCCCAGGGTTCTGTGTGGCCACCAGCATCCTGGAGCCACACGTATCCCATCCCTGTCATCTCCACTGGCCAGCAAGGAGTGGTCCCAGCCTCTCTTTCTGAGCTGGGGGTCTGCCATGCCCATCATCCTCTCTGAATCTCACAGGCCCTGCATCCTGGCCAGCATCCCTGCAGGTCCCAGGCATCACCCCTGCTCCTGGCACCAAG